TAAACAGTTTCATCATAATTAGATGATAACATTATATACAGAGATACATACAAGATGTATTTTCCAGGAATATATATTTAAACTTATATCATTTTTTACAGAATATCTTAATATTTTAATATTTAGTGAATTCCTGGTATTGATTTACACACAGGAACAGACATTGTAATGTACATGCTATCTTTGTGTGGAGATTCGCCGAGTCAGCATTAAAACTATTATACACAGCTTTGTCACTGTCCCACCAAAACCCTGTGGAGAAGAAAATAAGTGAGCGATTCAAATTGCAGTGTTGAGGAAATTCCCTATCAGTAGTCTGTCAGGACATATCGATCTTCACCAGAACATCCAATCAAATTCAATCTAACAAATAAGGACTGTGAGAAATCATCAAACACAACAGTACTTAATCAAAACCAGTTACGTCCTGTGTAAATCAATACACATTGTCAGGTTAATCTGAAACAGTGCAAAATAAATAGATAGAACTTAAAACTTGTGACATTGGTCAGTAATATGCCCACCCTTCTTATCAAAAGTTTTACAAACAAACATCTAGATTTAGAAACTGGTACTTTCTCTTCTATATTCTGGGGACAAGTTTTTCTCCAGTATTAAGGATCATCATTAGAGCTAGAAAAGGTTCTCAGGACCAATCAGGGACTAATCAACACATGATGCAGAAGCCTCTAACTAGCACTAAAATTGTTTTATGGAAGTACATATACACCTCAGAGATGCCGATTTTTTTCTTTCTGGGTAAGTAAATACATCTAAGAGATACTGAAATGAACCTCAGATGTAGAAAAGAATTAACAAGATGTGACTTCTGATACCTGAAATTTGTTCCCCAATATCTTTGTTATTAATAGTATACCCCAAATGATTTTTCAGAGCCAGTGATAATTATACATAAACCTTAATTCAGAACTAACATCATGGCATTCTACTGAGAAATAATTTAAATATTACAGCCCACATGAAGCTTCCATTGCTTTACATTCTGTCACATTTTATTGGAGCATTGCCATTTTCCTGACAGTTCAACTCGTAAGACTTGTTAAAAGCCAAAAAAAAAATTGACAACAAAACGCATGTTAAATTCTATCTCCATCTTCACCTAAAACAGGTCTAACGACAGCTAAAGACAGCTAGCTTAAAAATTATCAGGATGTCTATGAATTTTCAAAAGGAATAACGCTTTCCATTCCACAATAGACATTTTATTTGGAAATTATCTCATTTGAAAATATTTACCAGCTCTAGTAGATGTATTTGGCAATCATGGAGAAAGGGGGAGGGGCCACAATACCTCAGTCAGTTAATGTGTGCCTACCCTATGTAACCTCAAGAGTGTTTTTCAACACACACTATTTCTCAGGAAGCTGACAAAGTAAGGACCACAACTGTTTCAAAGAACCAAAGATCCAAATGAATTGTTGATGGTGCAAAGTGGACAATATCCTGCCATTCCCCTTTCCGTGAGATGCTTCGGACCAAATTTGATTAAAATTGCTGAGTTGTTACTGAATAGTTGCAATATATAGTAAAAGTTGACAGATAATGGACGACAGATGCTGAATGCCACAGTATCCAAATGGCTCAATTGGACCTCCTGGCATGCACGACACATGACGTCGGATAAAGGTGATAGCAATAAGGCACCATGAGACTTTATTTCAGGTGACCTAAAAATGTATAAACAAGTTAGGGAAATTTTCTGATAATATAGAAACCATCAGGAAAACACAAACGTAGTTGTTATTGGCCTTAGAATCAATAGTTACTGGGTAATTTTGTTCATGTTAGTACATCACATCAATAGATCTTAGGATGTTCATAAAGTGTTCACTGTGTACAGAACAAAATCTGATTAACTGTTATAATCAATAAATGTATATCATGGTCTAGAAATATCCACTTTTTTCCTAGTGTCCGAGGCTTAATCTCTATATAACACCAAACATCATACAACATCAAAGCTATTGATGTACAGGAAAGGAACTTAAAAAACATCCAGGCTATTATGTACAGGAAAGGAACTTAAAAAACATCCAAGCTGTTTATGTACCGGAAAGGAACTTCAACAACACCGAAAGGAACTTTTAACAACAACCAGGCTGTTTATGGAACAGAAAGGAACTCAAACAACATCCAGTCTGTTTATGTACAGGAAAGGAACTTAAACAACATCCAGGCTCTTTATGGAACCGAAAGGAACTTTTAACAACAACCAGGCTATTTATGTACAGGAAAGGAACTTAAACAACATCCAGGCTCTTTATGGAACCGAAAGGAACTTTTAACAACAACCAGGCTGTTTATGTACAGGAAAGGAACTTAAACAACATCCAGGCTCTTTATGGAACCGAAAGGAACTTTTAACAACAACCAGGCTGTTTATGGAACAGAAAGGAACTTTTAACAACATCCAGGCTGTTTATGGAACAGAAAGCAACTTTAACAACATCCAGGCTGTTTATGGAACAGAAAGGAACTTTAACAACATCCAGGCTGTTTATGGAACAGAAAGGAACTTTAAAAACATCCAGGCTGTTTATGTACAGGAAAGGAACTCAAACAATATCCAGGCTGTTTATGGAACAGAAAGGAACTTTAACAACATCCAGTCTGTTTATGGAACAGCAAGGAACTTTAACAACATCGAGGCTGTTTATGTACAGGAAAGGAACTTAAACAACATCCAGGCTGTTTATGGAACAGAAAGGAACTTTTAACAACAACCAGGCTGTTTATGGAACAGCAAGGAACTTTTAACAACATCCAGGCTGTTTATGGAACAGCAAGGAACTTTTAACAACAACCAGGCTGTTTATGGAACAGCAAGGAACTTTTAACAACAACCAGGCTATTTATGGAACAGCAAGGAACTTTTAACAACAACCTGGCTATTTATGGAACAGCAAGGAACTTTTAACAACAACCAGGCTATTTATGTACAGGAAAGGAACTCAAACAACATCCAGGCTGTATATGGAACAGCAAGGAACTTTTAACAACAACCAGCCTATTTATGGAACAGAAAGGAACTTTTAACAACAACCAGGCTATTTATGTACAGGAAAGGAACTCAAACAACAACCAGGCTGTTTATGGAACAGCAAGGAACTTTTAACAACAACCAGGCTGTTTATGGAACAGAAAGGAACTTTTAACAACAACCAGGCTATTTATGTACAGGAAAGGAACTCAAACAACAACCAGGCTGTTTATGGAACAGCAAGGAACTTTTAACAACAACCAGGCTATTTATGGAACAGAAAGGAACTTTAACAACAACCAGGCTGTTTATGGAACAGAAAGGAACTTTTTACAACAACCAGGCTGTTTATGGAACAGAAAGGAACTTTTAACAACATCCAGGCTGTTTATGGAACAGAAAGGAACTTATAAAACTCTTCAGTAAGAGCAATATACATAAGAATTTTATTTGAGTTGAAATTATGATGTCCTACATTACAACCATTGCAGAATCCATGTTACATCTCGGACATATTTTGTAAAAAATAGATACACGTCATACAGAACATTGTAATGTTAAATGTAATATCATGCAAAGTTGTTTTTCAAAAAGAGTATTATCTTTGTACAGTTCCCCATCACAACAGTAAATCTATCACAGAAACAAAGACACTAAATTGTGTCCTCTGCCACCAAGGAACAACTAGTGATATAATATGCCACATGCTTCTTATCTGCCATGTGTTATACGGAAAAAGGGCTCTTTTGTATATTTTGGGTTTTCTTGTGTTATATGAGGCTAAGAACCAAACATATTTGTCACACTGGAAAGTAATTCATCAGGACATAATGATGGACGCTAAACGGCATCAAACAATATAGCAAATCTCAGCTATTGGTTATATTACTGCACAATATTTCGTCAGTGGTCGATCTCCAACGGTCATTTTGTGGTAAAATATATCAAATATTCAATGACTTGTAATATCAGATTTGTTCCTGATAAATTTTGTCATTTCAAACAACATTTTCAATGGTTGGCCTATATATTAATCTATTGTTTTGGACGTAACACTGGACTCCATGATATGCACCACTAAAATAATGTCATAAAACACATATACAAACTTACTCCTTAAAAAAGATAAATCGCTTTTAGTCTCAATGGCCGGGACGTAACATTATGACATGATTTACACAAGCACTAAATGATTTAATTTCTTTAAAACATGTTTAGAGGTTTTCACTACATTCGCTATTATCGGGAAACCAATCACTTCTGCAAGGATATACACAACCACAAGGAGGAAATGACACACAAGTTAATGTCATTCTAAATATATCTTTGTGTGTAACATTTATAACACGAAATATTACATCCAGGTACTAATTTTTCAAAATGTTGTAAATGAAAATTAATGTACATTTCTGAAAAGTAAATACATCTTATAGATCTTTTCGATCCATTCACCTTGTCTCATAATACTGAACAAAAAAGATATGTTAACTTTTAATTTTGCTTGTGAAAACATCAAAGAATGGTGTGGTGTCAATGCCAAATAAGACATGAAACAGAAATTGTGATGTAAAATATTTCATAATATTACAAAACGTTTTGGTAGTTATATCCTTGTTTGAGGAACTTTCAATTGATATAATTTATGTTTCATTCAGCAAACATGCATCTCACAGAGAGACTGGGTGGGTATATGGGAACCATATTGTCTTCGTTTTTTAATTTCTATGCCAGATATCATGGCCTTTCAGTGAGAAAAGATAGAAAGTGAGTAGAGAGCATATCGTATGAAGCCTTGTAAGAGAGTAGGAAATAGAAATGTGGTAGAGAGGGGACGTCTATACTACCAACCTATTCTTAAACTATAACTCTGAAGACTAGCCCCTTGGCAAAATTATAGCTCTAACTTAACACTAACTAGGCAGCAAGAGGCCCAGCTAGGTAGAGAGAGGAGATGGGAATCCTACATTATATGAGTTACGATATGTTGATAATATTTTACCTTTTTGAAACCATCTTCCATTTCTTTTGTTTCTTTGAAATGCATCATAGATTTGTGATAATTGTCCTTCTGCCACTGTTTGATGTCTGCGTAAGCTTTAGACATGAGATTCTCTCCGACCAAGGTGTGAAGGTTTGCCACGCTATCTGCCTCCTGCAGCAATCCTCTCCACGCACCTTGTGTAGTTGCATACTCAGGTCCTGCACACATACAGAAAGTAATTACAAACATCTTTTCACTTGAAAATCTTTTCCGTTATTTTGAAAACATCTTAAGCATCGAAAGATTTAAAATTTAACTTTTCATCAACAATGTGGCTAAAGGTTTTCCTTCTAATGGATGTAAAACAATTAATTGTAAACATTTTTACCTGTTAGATCAAGACTAGCAATAAAAGTTGAAACTTGTTGTCTCAAAATCGTTTGAGTCAAATTTCCAAGTCCCAATTTTTTTCCATTTATAATTTTAGTTCGGATGACTCAAATTTCATCGAGTCAAATTTTTTATTTACATCAAAGAGATTTTTCAGTCCCTTCAATTGCAAAGCAAGGTTAAAGGCATACTTGTCTCGAAACTGTTTTTTTGTCAAAACATAGACAAGTCTTTTGAAGAAGTCTGTCAATAAATACACAGTGTCACCTGTGCGCAACACATGGCTAATTATGGCATATTGGTCCAGTGTATTTAAAACACCTAGTCTCTGCCCATTAATGACCGTGCAGTTTATAAATTTGGCTGCCTAATTAGTGTCACCATCATATAGCAGTGACTTACCTGTATGTTAAACAAGTAGCATGTTTACACAAGACATGCAAACAGTCAGCTTGGCCGTGTGCATCTTTAGGAACAATAAAAACGAAACCGTGTCAAACCTGTATGAAATTTTCCACGAAATTTGATCTCAACATTTCTGACAGAAACTAATTTTTGTGCTTGTTTACTAAAGGACTTTGGTACTGTGTTGGATTTAGTGCTTGGAAATGCAGTGCTGAAATTATTTATCATTGACAGAGTCTATGTCTCGGAGTAATTTGTTAAGTCTAGTCTTTATAACATTTTATAAAACTTTCCAGTGTCGACTTTTTCATATGTTTATTAATTCATAGTAAAGTTATGTTAATATGATCTGTAGCTTTGTACATCCTTTCTTTTCGTGTATCAAAAGCAAATTTTAGTTTCGTTTTATTGTCATTCCGTACAATATATTATCTACATGTGCTTTGTCAGTAAGAGGAGTGTACAGGAAACATGTTCAGTACATGTGTAGTAGATTGGTATTGCATTCCATGTTTGGTGTTTTTATCACATGTTTTGTCATGAATAAACAATGAAAGGAGAAAATAGATTTTTTTTTCTTTTGTTTATTTACTGCCATTTCAAATAATAGATTAAATTATGCTTTCTGATATCTACTATCTACTACTATTAATACACAGAAATAGCTGTACAAAAGCATCTTGATCAAAAAGGGAAGAACCTGAAAAGCAGTCATATTTTGTACCTTTGTCTAAGTATTCATTCCATCTTTTGGTCCACTGTGTTAGCTGTTTGGCATAATTCCGTTCGATCTCGCTCCTCGACTCTATCAGACTTCGAAGACTGTCACACAGTTTGTAACCATTGTCTACACGCTTCACAGTTCTCTGATACTTTCCCACTTCCCAAAAGCTGTCACTAGTGGGCTGAATGGATTCCTCATAGTTTGTCATGACGACCACTTTTATTTAAAATTTTCTCAGATTATCAACTTTTCTTCAATTGTTGCTTTTGGAATTACCACATCGGAAGTCTGAAACAAAATTTCAAAATATTTTCAAACTGGCTAACACATCAAATTTGCAATGAAAAAGCACATTCAATGTGTATAAACTTTTGAGATTATTAAAAAAATCTGGCATTTATGAACAGTAATCTACAATATCCTTTTATGAGTCCTTTTCAACTTTATTGCAAAAGACCATGGGTCTCGCAGTATTTTCAAAAATTTGATGCTAAATTCTACGAGTACAGGACTCCAGACCCATGTGTAGAATTTATCACTGGTTAGAATTTGATCGCTGCACACAATATTAGATATTTCAGTGACTTGTCTTCTAGATGCCTTACACCTAATCTGTTAATAATTCATGTAACAGAACTGAATTGACAAAGATATTCACAGACCTGTACTCAATAGAACCTAGTAATAAGCAATATACACATGAACCTACACGCAGTAGAACCCAAAACTAACCAAGATATATGCAGACCTACACGCAGTAGAACCCAAAACTAACCAAGATATATGCAGACCTACATGCGGTAGAACCCGAAAGAACCCAAAACTAACCAAGCTAATCAAAATATATATATGCAGACACACCTACCAAATACAAACCAAGACACACACACATGGTAGAGCCAAATAAAAAACAAAATACACAGTAGAACCCCAAACTAGCCAAAATATATGCAGACCTACAAACCAAGACACGACACACACATGGACCTGCACATGGTAGCCAAATACAAACCAAGACACAAATACAAACCAAGACACACATAGACCTGCACATGGTAGAGCCAAATACAAACCAAAACACACATGGACCTGCACATGGTAGAGCCAAATACAAACCAAGACACACATGGACCTGCACATGGTAGAGCCAAATACAAACCAAAACACACATGGACCTGCACATGGTAGAGCCAAATACAAACCAAAATACACATGGACCTGCACATGATAGAGCCAAATACAAACCAAAACACACATGGACCTGCACATGGTAGAGCCAAATACAAACCAAGACACAGATAGACCTGCACATGGTAGAGCCAAATACAAACCAAGACACACATGGACCTGCACATGGTAGAGCCAAATAAAAAACAAAATACACATGGACCTGCACATGATAGAGCCAAATACAAACCAAAACACACATGGACCTGCACATGGTAGAGCCAAATACAAACCAAGACACCACCTGCACATGGTAGAATATATGCAGACCTACAAACCAAGACACACATGGACCTGCACATGGTAGAGCCAAATACAGTAGAACCCCAAACTACAAACCAAAACACACAAAATATATGACACACAGACCTGCTCATGGTATCACCAAATACAAACCAAGATGCACATGGACCTGCACATGGTATCACCAAATACAAACCAAGATGCACATGGACCTGCACATGGTATCACCAAATACAAACCAAGATGCACATGGACCTGCACATGGTAGAGCCAAATAAAAAACAAAATACACATGGACCTGTGTTTTGTTCAGTATATATATATATATATATATACACTTAAAGTGAGCAATCTTGAAAACTAAAGTAACCATTTATTGTTTATGTTCAGTTTTAAGTTCCGTTGAAAGTGATCAATGTTATATAAATTTAGTGGCATAATACTATGAATATTAAGATCAGTTGATCATACCTTTATATTTCTTTCTTTAACCAAATGATAATGATAGAATATTTGCCACTTAATTTCAGTGATGCTGGATCAATCAATGATTCTATTACCACCCAAGTATGACAAAACAGTGTAATGGTTTACACACATTAATGAAATACAATATACTAACAGTCAGATATGTAAAATTGTATGAAAGTTACTCCCAGTAAAACAAATCATACCCGACGATCGTGCAACATTACTTCGAACATCAGACTTTTAAAAACATTCTGGAGATTCACTATCATAGGTTGATTTAGAACTTTTTACCAACTGGTGAAAAGACCTATTGTTCTTTTACTTATCAAACTTATCCTTATTCTTCTCCCAGGATTTTGTGGAGTCTAACTTTCCAAAATGTTAAGATATATGTTTTAGTCTTTTAAAGGTCTCTTATTATTACTTCAGAAGATATTCTATACAAAGCAATCGGTCATTCAGGCCACAACTGCCTCATTAGATATTTGTGGAATTTGCTGATAATCAAACTTAAAGAGAGTGGTTGAGGGACTGTCTGTGTAAGACTCATAAAAATCTGAGCATTCCTTTGAGAGAAGTGTGGACAGCTATCCTCAAGACTGTTTCTAGAAATCAGCCAATCAGGTAAGAGCTACCTGATTAAATGTACATGAAATTCACAGTTAATCGAACTTGAGTGAGGAGGTTATGTAATAAGTTTGCAAAGCAAGTCTCATCATAATTAATTTGTTCCTTCAAAAGATAACTTGCAGAAAGCATTCAGTTAAGAGTGCTAAAAGATATCCGCCAGTCAGGTCACAGCAGTCTCATAAAATATGTATAGAATTTGCCAATAATCAAACCTGAACAAGGAATTAGGGTATTGAGTCTACAACACAAGTTTCCTAAAAATCATATTATTCCTTCTAAAGATAACGTGCAGAAAGATTTCCCATAAAGTGATTAAAGAAGTCAGCCAATCAGGTCACCGCAGCCCCATTAAATATGTGTGGAATTCGTCATTAATCAAACTTGGGCAAGGGTTAAGAGAACAAATACGCCAACCAAGTTTCATCAAAATTTTGACCAGTCCTTCAAAAGATATCATACGGAAAGCAGCATCCGAGAGTGATTCAAGAAATCAGCCAATCAGGTCACAGCAGCTTTATTAAACATGCAATGAATCTGCTGTTAATTGAACTTGGGATAAGGATTATGACATTGAGTGTACCAACCAAGTTTCACCAAAATCTGACCAACCCTCCAAAAGCCATCATGTGAATAGCAGCAATCTGAGGGACAGAACCTGTTTGAATATCCCCAGCCAACTTTGTTAGGTGGGGAATGATAAAAATAGCACAAAGTACCGAGTGGGCTTATTAAAGAACAATAAAATAACACAGTACCAGACTGAGTGGGCTTATTGGAGAACAATGAAATAAGACAGTACCAGACTGGGTGGGCTTATTGGAGAACAATGAAAACAATACAATACCAGACTGAGTGATTTATTAAAGAACAATGAAAACAATACAGTACCGGACTGAGTGGGCTTATTATAGAACTATGAAACAATACAGTACTTGACAGAGTGGGCTTATGTAAGAACTATGAAACAGGACAGTACCAGACTGGGTGGGCTTATTTAAGAACAGTACTTGACAGAGTGGGCTTATTAAAGAACAATGAAATAAGACAGTACCAGACTGAGTGGGCTTATTGGAGAACAATGAAATAAGACAGTACCAGACTGAGTGGGCTTATCAGAGAACTATAAATTAGCATGTGTAAGAACAAATCTCAATCACTGCTGTATAGTTTACATTACAGAATAGATACATTTTATTTTACCTATTAATCGAACATTTTACACTGTCAATTAAATCAGTGACCCATTCAGAAGGGTCATGTGCTGTATAACAAATTCTGAGCATTCCCTGAGAAGTTAAAGATTAGAACGTGATTGAAAATTTCATTTGATTGGTTAAAATAATGAATCAGAATGTATCCCTTTAAGAAAACTGATAAAGATAAAAAAAAAAAAAAAAAACTTAAACTCTATAAATTTTTCTTGTGATGCCTGGGAACCCACATCTGAAAATAATGAGTCTCTGGATCTGTGTTGAGAGTGTAAACAATGAGGCAGGGAAGATTCATATGGCTGCTGCTTAAGAAACAATCTATAGACATAAATGCACTATGAAATTTTGAAATGTCTTTGGTATACTCATTGATAAAATATGTTCATCCTTTTTACTTTATCTGCATAATGGATGCAGGAGGCAGGCGTAGATTGATCTCTGCATGAAGGTAGGAGTGAGATATATATATAAACTTTATTTATTTTACATCAACTGCGAAACAAGCTATCAGCTTATATCAATCACTCTGGTTGGCTCAGATGGATGAGTGTTAGGAATTTTACTGTGAAAGGAAAACCGGAGTACACTGGGAAAACCCACATGGTCAGGGAGGTGATCCCATACAATTTCACGTCCACACTGGGAATCAAACCCCGCACACATAGGTGAAAGCAAGTGTGTTACCAATGTGCCACCCAACCACTCAGAAGTGGTAGGACTGATACTTTTTCTGTAACTTGATATGTAAACATGAAATACCAACAAGACAAAATAATTGTTTTGTTTATGTTATAGGTAATTACATTCATATGAACTTGGACAACAGCAAACTTACAAAGTCCCTGCGTAACTTAATATAAAGGTGCATTTTCACTAATTTTCAGAGTAAAAACTATAAAAAACAAAAGTATGACAAGAAAAAATGAAGTTTACTAAATTATCTAAATTTATATGTATATATACATACTCAGTCTAGTGTAAAAAGGCACTTTGATAATACTTATCCTGAAGATTTTAGAGAAACTCCAAGCTATAAATAGATTTACACTCCTCTATCCAGTAACTACAATGTTCACTTACTAAACAAGCAATTGATATGCTGTTGTAAATTATCAATAAGGTATGTTAAAATGTGACATTGTGCATCTTTCTGATTAAACCACATATCATATATCTTATCTATTCAAAAATTTCAAGTATGCATGAATGTGTACATTAATGGTTTATCAATATATTCTCCCTGATAAAATACAGATTGCAATAGTTTTCCTACAAATCATACAACAGTAATGCGTTCAAATAATGTATGACTCCATACTTTTACAGACACTTAGAATTTAAAGGAGTGGCTTTCACTATCCCATTGATAGTCGACAAATGTCCTGCTTAGTTTTGAAAGAAATATTTCATTGTTTAACTTCATTTAATTCATTTATCTTATCCTAATATCCATTTCATACTCTCTTAATGGTTCATTTATAACTGATACTTTTTTTAAAATATTCTTTTAATGCAAAAAGTTTTAAAGTATTTCTGCTAATAGTCAAAATTTAAAAACTTTTAAATCAAATTCCAGATTCCAGCGAAAAAGAGAATAATATTTATTTTTTACATAATAAGACAGTCTTTCTATATGCATGTTCCATAATAGAGGAATTCCAGAAAGTAAACATCATTATCAATACAATTTAATAAGATATATATGGTCTATTTGGTATTATATCCAGGGTTGAAATATATTTCCCAATTAAATAAACCACCAACTCAGGCTAGAAATGTATACATTTTTATGTAAACAAACACAATGTTAATTTAGTCTTGTACCTGAGGCACAGGTAAATTCATTATGATTGAAATCAACCACACCAGTTCAATGATCATGAGGTCATAACCTGTGGATGGTCTACTTTGTACAGGTAAATTATCCATGGTATATATATATACATAGTAAGTTCAATGATCCGTGCTACATATTTACTTTCCCCGTTACAATGTTGATCCCTGACAAAAAAAAAACACAATAGACATTGACAATAGATTATCTATACCATGTACCCTCCATAGAAATATAACTAATTCACCCAGTCACATCAGTTATTTACCATCATTTGGAGACATACGGTAAACTTGTCACCCCACCCTCCTAAATTGGGCGTAGGCCTCTCATTCACGTAACCTAACTAGCCTAGGCCGACTGCCAATTTTCCTTGTCCAAGACTGATAGGCCAAGTTTTATTGAAGGTTTGCGTCGCCCGTCAGTCATATCACACGAATAATGTTGACCGAACATAAAGTACTGCATCTCCGTACGTAATTATGCCATTAGAGATAATGTATGGGGGCCGGAAGACACCGGTGCATGCCCCACGTTGGTTGTACACACCCCACGGACAACAAACAGGTGAGCAAAATCTTCACACCTGTCAAATATCCTGAGCAGGTCATCATGTGTCAACACCACACACGAACCACTTAGTGAAATACACGTGTGTAAGCAGAAAATAAAACGAAACATTTTGCCAACACTAACTTTGAACGACACAATACCGTGATTTTCACAAATGAAGCCGAAAGTCCAGCGTTCCTTAGATTCCAGGTTGTTGAAGAGGAATCACTGAACCTCAACGAAAACAAGTTTTCCGTCCTTGTGGTTATCTGACATATGTTGAAATGGCTAGCACACTTCCTTTAATCCATTTCTGGATCGTCTGATTATCAAATTCCATGAAAATTTGCTTGAGACATTGAGTTAATCCAGGTTTACTTACCAAAGTTTACTTCTCTCGTACTACCCAGTTTCTTCCGGAGATTCCAAAATGGCTGATTTTGAAGGGGTGTGGCTATAAGTCTGTCATCTTGTAACGAGCCATTTGATTGGTTGATAAAAGGATTCTAGTTAGGCCACGCAAAACACTTTTTCCCTACTGCCGTGTGCAATCCTGGCGTAGTTTTAATGATTCAGCATAGCTCACCAAACTACGATCATTATCGGGACCCACTTTTGAATTTCAACTTACACTTCGGATGTTACAATGTACAAACGATATAAGCATTCAGCTATGACTACTGTGGTACGACACTCTTCTTCATGGCACCAATAAAATTATTATCAAATAAATACTTTATTGAAAGGGGGAGCGAGAAGGGGTTGAGTGGGATACTATGGGATTACCATGCTTTGTATTAATGTACTCTATATCAAAATGATCAATGAAGGTATCAATTGACGTCACTATATTTAGGCTAGCCCGACTGTGCCTGCTATCCTAGCTGGAGATAAGTACCAATAGGTCGATATGCTGAGTTGACAGTCTGACCATCCAGGTAAATAACTTAATACCTGCTTAAACGTACAAATGTTCACTTACATATGTGTCCAACTACGTGTGCTTACCTCCATCAGCGGAAATAACAACTAGCAATTTCGGGAGTACGAACGATCTATCGCTTTGATGGATTAAAAAAAGAAGTATTTGGCACATAATTTGATAACTTTTTAAATTTCAATATTTAATCAACCATGCATATTTATCGAGTTCTTGAACAATTAAATATTATGATTATAAATAAAACGAAAATTGATCACCTTAAACTAAAATAGCTCATCCCAATGGCATTCATAAAGATAGTGACTGTCCGTTATGGTCAAGACAGTGAGAATTCGAATAAAATTAGATCCATAGATCATATATGTTGTAAAAACTGACGTCATGGTAAGATAGAATAGAAGTTCTTATAAAACCACCAATACATTGTTACCATCAGGGTGTATTTTATAACATATAATCTGTTTACCATCTCGTCACACCATTTTCGACCTTGGTGTACATAGGATTAAAGTGCAGCCGAAAAAGTTGGTCGATTCCTTACCATCAAGTACGCTACACACTGGTCATTTGTCTGATGAAGTTGATCGTGTGGTCATCGAAACGTCACGCCCTCATCTTCTACTGGTTGTGTTATAAGAACTTCTATACTATCGACTTTAGCAACCCGAAGAAAATCTTTGATTTTTCAGATTTTCCACAAAATTGACTTGATCACATACGTCGAGTGGAGCAGTGGTAACGTACTCGCATTTCACTAAGGCGTCCGGGGTTCGATTCCGGGAACGGACGTGAAAATGTATGGGGTCACCGTCCTGACCACGTGGGTTTTTTCCACAGGTACTCCGGTTTCCTTCAATATTTCAGTGATGCTTTATATTAAGTCCAAAGTTGATCGTAAGCGCGCTGACCAAGCAGGATCAGTTTTAACTACAACTATATAGAGCGATCGGAATTTTATATCCAGCTTAAATTTGATACCCGACAACAGCACGTTCTATGGTTGTCCAACATTGTAATTTATCGCTTTCTCCTTATGTCCACTTCCTGTCCTGACCCACTTTCACATTGAAGAAATTGAGAAAACAATGACAGCAATATTAGAACACAAAATTACTCTTAAAATTTATTTTACCTCTTAAATATGACGTATTCTTTACATGGACCGCCAGTATAATCCTACCAAGTTGAACGTATTTGGAATGCTATAATCAACCTAAATAGCTCTTGTAAAATATTAAGATATTTCCTTTTTGATATCCATGAAAGTCACCGAGGCAAATTAAAATCACGATCGAGTCTAACTGATTGCATCCGTTACATTTACAAAAAGGAGGCACTCTACTTTACAAAATTCTGCAAAAGTCACACTTTTTGATGAATGATGAATATTCAAGATAAACTTAGTTACTTCGCATTGGGAAATTTCAGAATTATTTGCTTTGATGTCTCAGACAATCCTTTGTACGTACAGGTCGACAGTGCACAACGGAGAGTTTCTTTGATTGCAAGAAAGTGTTTCTTTATATTTTATATGGGTTAGGATAAGAGTTATTTTTTTCTTTTTTTTTTTTTTTTTTTTTTTGAAAACTAAAACAATAAAATGATTATTTACACAATTCCATGCAGACTATTTACAAGAAAATTATCAATGAAATAGCATATCCCTTAGATATCTATAGATACTCTGCTCATCATGTTTATCATAAGTATGTAAATCTGTATGTGTGTATGAAATGGTGGCGGTGTGTATGTGTGCGTATGTGCGTGTGTGTGTGCGTGTATGCGTGTGTGTGTGCGTGTATGCGTGTGTGTGTGTGTGTGTGTGTGTGTGTGTGTGTGTGTGTGTGTGTGTGTGTGTGTGTGTGTGTGTGTGTGTGTGTGTGTGTGTGTGTGTGTGTGTGTGTGTGTGTGTGTGTGTGTGTGTGTGTGTGTGTGTGTGTGTGTGTGAAATGGTGTTGGTGTGTGTGCGTGTGTGCGTGTGTGCATGCAGTGTACATGTGTATTTATCATATGTGTATGAATGTGTTTACATGCAAATCCATAGATATATCAATGAATACAATGGTAATACTTGTGTGATTCTATTATAAGGTTGGAGATGACCTAATATTATTTTGTCATGTGCGTGCAAAGGTGTGAGTGTGGAAGTGCATGTTGTCTCATTACGTATTAATTGTTATATTAAATTCATTGTATTAAATAGAATGTTACGTCACAAAAAGAGAGATTTGTGTGTGAGTGTATATATGTTACTGGTAAGATAAGATATATAATCAGGGACAAAGAATGTCATGGTGACATTATTTGCAATATCTTGCGAACGCGATGTTAAAAATCAATGAAAATTGGTCAAGCAACTCTCTAGGTTACGGTGCAAGTGGTCCTGTATCGAATGTTGCATAATTGTATTGCGTGACGATGTCTTCCGCGGAAACCACGAAAAGGAAAAAAAAATATCGCGCACAGCAGTGTTGTGACATTGAATTACACTGCTCGTCATACCATTAGATAGTCTTCATAGAGACAGATAACAGGTCATATCCATGTAAAAACTGTAAGGAAACGATTGCGAGAAGTTGGTCTGCGGGTACGTTGCCCCTTATTGCTGCTCGTCGCCAGCGTCGTATGACTTGGGTAGCGGTACATGCCCCTAGAATATTCCCATTGAGGGAGAGGAGGCAGGTCTTGTTTATAGATGAGTCCCGGTTCACCCTGTTTCGAGCAGACAGTCGACGTCGTGAAGAACGTTTTGCCGACTGCTACGTAGTAGAGACGGATATGTTTGAGGGTGGATCGGTTATGGTGGGGGGAGGAATCTGATCAGCATGGAGCTAAACGAACGAAGGTGACCTTAGTAAGAGGAACGAAAGTATAATGAATTAACATGTTATTAGGAGAAGCACGAAAATATAATCATTAGATTACTGGGAATTCGGAACTCCTTAGTAACCGGATGTCGTCCGTCCGTCCCACGTCTAGGCGTGCGTCCGTCCAGCATTTTGTGAAATAATCAGTATGTTCCCTGCAGTATCCTGTCCTGTAATGGAGTTAAGGGTTCTGTGGGGTGGTCTCGTGGCCAGTGAACCCAGGGTCATGTGGGTTGATCTCGTGACCAGACAATCCAAGGCCGTGTGGGGTAGTTAGATGACCAGGCAATCCAGGGTCCTGTGGGGTGGTCTCGTGACCAGGTAATCTTGGGTCATGCGGGGTGGTCTCATGACCAGGCAATCAAGGGTTCTGTGGGGTGGTCTCGTGGCCAAGCAATCCACGGCCCTGTTGAATGGTCTCGTGACCAGTCAACTGAGGGTCCTGTGGGGTGGTCTCGTGGCCAGACAATCCACGATCGGGTGAAGTGGTCTTGCGACCAGTCAACCGAGGGTCCTGTTGGGTGGTTTCGTAACCAGGTAACCCAGGGACCTGAGTGGTGGTATCGTCACCAATCAATCCAGGGTCCTGAGGGAATGGTCTCGTGACCAAGCAATCCGGGAACCTGAGGGATGGTCTCATGACCAGGCAATCAATGGTTCTGTGGGGGTGTTCTCGTGACCAGGCTATCCAGGGTCATGTGGGGTGTTCTCGTGACCAGGCAATCCAGGGTTCTGTGTGGTAGTTACTTGACCAGGCAATCCAGGGTCATGCGGGGTGGTCTCGTGGCCAGGCAATCCAGGGTTCTGTGTGGTAGTTACTTGACCAGGCAATCCAGGGTCCTGTGGGGTGGTCTCGTGGCCAGGCAATCCAGGGTCCTGTGGGGTGGTCTCGTGGCCAGGCAATCCAGGGTCCTGTGGGGTGGTCTCGTGACCAGGCAATCCAGCGTCCTTTGGGGTCGATATTAGATTACCTTGTGATAGCTATCAAGGCTGTGCAGTTATCATAATGATGTTTAAGAACGATTTTTGGACATATTAAAGCTATTTGACATGAAATGGACAAGCCTGTTAAATTGTGTCACTGTGACCTAATTTAAAAGTATGTTTACAGTTTCGCAATTTCTGTTCTGTAAAATGATACTTTGTATCAGTAGAAAAAACTATCACAATTACAGTTTTCATACAATCAAAAGTTAGTAAAAAATCTGAAAACTCAAATCTGATGTTTTGATACTACATACTAATGTATGTGCATATGACATTAGATTGTCTTCTTGCCAAAAAGATATTGACCATTAAATGTGTAGAATGTCATAAACTGGTACCCCTCCTTAGTTTCAAATATTTTCTTAAACAACTTAATTTTCTACTACTCATTTTTCAATAGATCAAATCTATTTCATGTGTCTAGCAATAAAAAAGAAAAGAAATTTGACCACAACCTGTACTTTTAGAGATACAGTATTCCATCCATCCCTGAATCAATCGTCCCAAACTTTCATATTGCCATGCCGTTCTTGTATAGATGTAGATTTTATTGTCCTGACTATCAAAATTAGGATTTTTATCAGGAGTATAATTTTGTCCAATCATGCTCGTTTCTGTCGGTTACAGCG